GCACATCGTCAGGCCCCGGTTGTATCACCGTCGTCGAAGGCCCTACGTGCATCTGTGTGACATAACACTCGGTCGGGTCAGCTCTAGAATTCATCGCCAAGGCAGCAGTATTCAGCCATGAATACCCCTCGGGAATCCCCACCGGTCTTCCTTGATCGGCAACACCTTTCTTCTTGGAAGCTCCCGCCTTCTTCTTGTTTTTCTTCCTGGGGGCCACCCGGAGAGGCGTCGGGTTTATGGGCCGGGAGGTGCTGGCCTCACCAGCATTGCGTGCAGGGAGGAGGGCGACGGTAACCTTCTGCCTTTCTTTTTCCTCCTCTTCCTCGGCGGTTTGAACGGCGAGGGTCAGCTCCTCGTCTTCATTTACTTGTTCAAAGTCCTCGGCCTCGGCCTCAGCGACGAGCTCCTTCTGTACCTCCATGGAAACGGCAGAATCACCACTCACCGAAGGCTACTCGCTCGGGGACTCCACATCAGATATGCTCTTTACCTCGACTGAAGGCTCCCCGGAGATGTCTTGAGAGTCACTTTGGGACGACATTTTCGTAGACTAAAAGTAGAAGAGTTCTAAGGTCCGGGGGGTTTTATAAGGTCGAGTATGCAAAATATGCGAGAAATGCGGAGAACGGATGAAGAACTGACCTCAGAAAAGATGATTGGATCGAACTGGCACTTTCTCTCTCTAGAAATAATTCGGCAGAGCTTCGCGAAAATATGGTCGCACAAGGGAGGATGTCCAGCCTTGGGGGTATTTATAGGCCTCCCACTCCGGGCTTGGGCCAAGAAACCGGGCCCCCGAGAGAAAAATCATCATTACACACCGTCTCCTCCGCCAACCGATGACACCCGCCCGCAAACAGCCAACGGTTACACGTCACATGGACACCACCTCCACGCCTCCTCCAACGGTCATATTACAACGACTATATTTTGAAAACACAAAGGGGCTCCCGGCCGACACCCCTCAGATAACACTGTGCTTGCCTTCGAGTTTTCTCCTTCAGACTCCTTTATCAATAGGAGCCCCCGGTTTGACAACGGGTAAACCCTTCAGGGCCCCTCATCCCTCAGCCGTTGAAAAACAGGGAACCCTCCCGGAGCCACACCTTCACAACCCCTCATCTGTGGTTAGCCTCCGGCTAAAATATCAGGGAATATTCACTCACGCTTATCAACTATGGACGCTTTCGGAGGAGTGCTCCCAACAGATATTGCCCTCAACACCTCCGGGATATCAGCATCAGCCTTCGGCATCACCAGGTTACCAACGAAGAACCTTCGGCAAAATCAGCGACCAAACCCTCAGGTCACGGATAGGTCTCGGCGGCAACATTGCTCTTCACCTCAAACCAAGAGCTCACCTTGTTGATTCATCATTGGGGGAACTCGGTGCACTCTTTTTCCCTCATTAGGATTTTTTCCCAAAGGGTTTTTCCTAATGTGGTTTTTAACGAGGCATTCCCCAAAATGAAACGAAAAAGCACAAGCCTTCAGCTTCGCAATGAAAGCAGGCACCCCTCTACTCCTCTTCACCACATTACATGTGCCTCAAGGAGTGGGGGACTGGAGGACCCCTTCGGGAAATTCACAAAATTACGAATGTAAAAATTTTCCTTCGGCCCCAAGATGTGGGGGACTTAAAGGACTGCCCTCGGCAAAACATGCAAACAACAACTCCTCACAACTCCGCGAACTACAAAGCAAAACACCAGCATCAGAGGACAAATGCATTTACTCCTTTTCCCTCAAGTACCTTTCAGAAAAAGGAGTGAGGGACTTTAATGGAGTATATGGCCCAGGGACCCCGGCCCATAGACTCCCACTACTATAACAAAGGCCCTATAAGCCCAGGAAGCACAGCAGGCCCAAATCACAGCGCCCCAAGTGCCAAGCAGCCCACGTCATACACTTGGGTGCCTTCGGCCCCCATGGCCGAAGGCTCATAAACTTAGAGTACAGCTGCTTTTAAGCACTCGAAGTTACTGGTAGAAAACGGCGAAAACAATAGCCCTCGGCACCTAGAGGCCCCCGGGATGAAGAGCCTTCGGCTAATCATCTATAGCCGAAGGCATCTTCCTCGACAGAATCTCTCATCCACATGCGCTGGATCAACGTACCAAGTACAAACGTCACATCCAACCACCGCATTTAATACGGCCACATGCGAGTGCCAGTGCCACCCCGTTGAGATGACCCCCGACCACCAGAATGATGACACATGTCTTTATCTAGCATTTATTGCTGCTATAAATAGCACCCATTTCCCCATTTGTAAACCACGCTCAATACGACTAAAGCTCACATAATCGAATACTTTCTCTCTCTCTTGCTTATTCGCTCTGACTTCTCTCTAGTTACTCCCCACAGTAACTGATATGCACTAATTAGTAGTGCATAAATGTATATTTTTATGTTTGATTGATGTGTATTGTTTATCGTTTTATTTAAGTTTGTAAACATTTGTGTGATTTTAGTTGTAATTGTATTTTAGTTCTCATTTGTAAGTTGTAAAGTAGAATTAGGAATTAGGATGTTGGAAAGGAGGATGTTGAAGTGAAGAAAAAGGAATTTTGACTGTCCAGGAGCTAAACCCTTCCATCTTGGTTTTGCTACTTTGAAGCTTAATGAATTTGTAAGTTGTGAGTTATTTTCTTTAATCTTCTTCCTTGAATATTAATTCTTCCTTTCAAATACTATTTCTATATCAAAGTTGGGGAGTGTTACTAAGATGACAATTAGTTAACATCTTGACATTGGTTATAGTAATAGTTATTTCTTCCTCTATGTTAATATTGGGGAGTGTTACTAAGATGACAATTAGTTAACATCTTGATGTTAATCATAGCAGGATTCATATTCTTTAATATTCTTCCTTGAGTATTAATTAATTCCTATTCATATTTCATGTTAATATTTTAAACATTACTTAAAGTATCAACTAGTTTTGTTTCTCATATTAATTATTACTAGAATCAATCGGTTAATACGCTTGTTATTAATCCGGTTCTTTCAACGGTAGTACACTTGGAATATTAATGCATGCATCTCATGGTTAATATGCCAAGGGGAATTAATTATATTGATTAAACCAATAAACCGCTTGTGTTGAGGTTATCAATCTCAATCGTTTTCATCTTAAGTTTATTGCTACTATCAAGTTAATATACGGCGTTTGTTCTATATTGACTCGATAGTAAGTTTTATTAATGAACGCATCTCGTTATTAATAACTACCCTCGATGAACTGGATATACTCCTCGATTGAGTATTCGAGAGGAAGATAGTTAAAGATATAACCGGGATCGACGAACATTTCATTAAGTGGATAAAAGCAAAATCAAGCCTCCACATCTATTAATCAAACCCATATAAGTTGTTCATCTTAGTATATTTAAATCAAACAAATCTAAACCCTCCTTGATACTACTTATATAAAAGAAAAGTATTCCTTTCCATGTGGATACGAACCTTACTTCACTATACTATGTATTAGTGTTGTATTGATAAATTATTTTGAGTGCACCTCACGACAAGTGCTCGTCAGTAACCCCTCGGATAAGCTACCCCCGGGTACTTAATCTATGAAGACAACACTGCGTGCATAGCTCAGATTAAAGAAGGCTACATCAAAGGTGACAGAACAAAACACATATCACCAAAATTCTTCTCTACTCACGATCTGGAGAAAGAACGGACGATCAACATTCAACAAATCAGATCCAGTGAAAATCCGGCCGATCTCTTCACCAAATCTTTACCCCCGAAAAAGTTCATAGAACTTGTACAGAAAATCAGCATGCGACGTCTTCATAATTTATGCTAAATTCAGGGGGAGTATTTGAATAATGAACTGCACTCTTTTTTCCTTCATCAAGTTTTTATCCCACTAGGTTTTTCCTGATAAGGTTTTTAAGGAGACAGTACATCCAAATACAATGACATTGTAAATCACAAATCTTACCCCTTAATTTTAATTATTTTTATAAATAAATTTTAATATAATCAATACCTATTCAATGATGAACATTCAAGGGGGAGTGTTGTAAATTCCTGAGAATAACAAGTGTGAATTGTCCATCCTTGTCATCAGGACACTAATCCAATTCCAATCCTTGTAATAGACAGATGGCTAAGTTTAATGTTGCCAGCAGATTTTGTAGAATCATTCTTTGATGATTCATCTTCTGGCCAACTAGTATAAATAGGGTGATCAATCCTTTGTAAATGTAACTGAGAATTTTAGAAAATATTCAGATATTAAGAAGAAGTAATTTAGAGATTTTTTATCTATTTCTATCTCATAAATTTGTCCTTCATCTTCTTCATTTCACAACATACTCTAGTATTTATGTTTCGGTGAAATTAGATTTTTGGACATACACACACCCATGATGCCTATCAGTCATATAATGAATTTTAGTCTATAATTAATGTTTCGGGAGTCAAAGCTTAAATTTTCACTATTTTTTTTAAGACTTATCAATATTTATATACATTTATATACTTCCTCCGTCTCTTTTTAGTTGCAACAGTCAACATTTCACGTTTGTCGACGCACAACTTTGATCGTCATTATATTTAATTCTGTGTTAGTAAAAATAAATTAAAAATCAGATTATAAAACTTGGTAATGAGACGAATTTAACAACATTTTTCAAAAGAAATAATTCACATACATTAATAAATAAAATGTAGTCAAAATAAAGTACATGTATAGTGTATATATTCTAATGTTGTAATTAATGGGGGTTGAGGCTCTCGCCACCCTCACCCTCTTTGATATACCGAGAATTATTTTAGGGAGTAGCAAACCAAAAAAACTAAACAAAAAAAGAGCTCATGCAAAGTGAGTGGGCTAATAAAATCTGCTACAAACCCACACCAGATCCACATTCTTTAGTCTTTATAAACTCATCTTATCGTCGACCTAATCAAGAACACGTAAAGCTTATGTTTGATTAATTATTTTTGCATATAAATTGAATCATGGAATTGTTTTTAAGCCCGACACGACCACCACCACTGATCACATTTATTAAGATCAGATATAACATAAACATCATTAAAAGCAGCTAATAATAAATTCCCAAAAAACACCATGGATGGAAAAAACCTCCGGATGGATGTGAAACCAGCAGCATTCTTACTATTACTCTTCCTGCTGCTGGCAGTGTGCTCATCGGAGAAGACGGAGAGCAAATGGGTGTCGCCGGTGGTGGCTCAGCGACCCCTCTGCACGTCCCAGTTCACCCTAGTAAACCACGCTTGCTCGTTGTTGCCGTTCACGCCCACCCCGCATCACCGCCCGTCGTCATCGCCGCCTTCGCCACCCAGCAGACGCAGGCAGCGGCGGCACAGGAGGCACCACGGCCGCCACCACCATGAGTCCGCCGTGCAGAGGGATTGTTGCAGGTGGCTCAAAGAGGTGGACGATGAGTGCGTTTGTGATTTGTTGGTTCACTTGCCGCCGTTCCTCTCGAGGCCGCTCCACCAGTACACCGTCACGGTTGATGATTCCTGCAATGTCACCTTCCAATGTGGTTCCAGAATCAAAGTATAATAGCAGTAATAATAATAACAATATTATTACTGATATTAAGAATGAAGGTCATATACCTATAAACATAGAGTATTTTTATGTACTCACTACGTTTTCCTACTACTCTTTTGTAATTTGCTGTGTTTTGCTAATGATTAAGTATGTTGGACTAGATGGGGTTATGACTCATCTATCTTTGTAACCCAACATGAACCATGCATGTGATAGAGTATCAATAAAATCCCTTCTTAGTTCCCATGTGAATATTATTAAAAGGAAAAATAATTCAATACTACTTATTGCTAAAAATAATTCAAAGCTCACAGTCGTGCCTTATGTATGGTTAATTGGAGAGACTTGGCCTCACGGCCCCAAAAAATTGTAAAAACCAAAGGCCCAAAATTTTATATATATATATATATATATATATATATATATATATATAGGGAGCGGTTCCGGTAAGAACGGACTCCCAGGAGAGAAATAAGAACGAATCTGGACCGTTGGATTGTATTATGTGGAACGGAAATGTGCATTTGATGAAACTGAAATGTGTATTACATGATACTGAAATATGCAGAATAAAAATTTAAACTCAATTGTGCATTGGGTGAAACTGAAATGTGCGGAATAAAATGTACAAAAATAACATCACATCGTACCTTTTATTCTGCACATTTCAGTTTCACCTAGTGCACATTTCAATTGCACCTAATGCACAATTCAGCTTCACTTAATGACATTGTATCATACGCTTTGTGTTGCACATTTCAATTTCACATAATGCACATTACAGTTTCATCTAATGCACATTGAATTTCACTTAAAGCAACTCTAACGGTCCGGATTCGTTCTCATTTCTCTCCAAAGATCATGTTCTTATTTGAACCAAAACATATATATATATATATATATATATATATATATATATATATATATATATATATATATATATATATATATATATATATATATATATATATTGGAACCCGGTAGGTAAACCACCAAAATCAGTGGGGTAGATGCCGGGGAACACCTACCGTATATTATTAAAAATCAAATTGAGTACAAAATGTGAGGGGACAACCTCACCAAGAAACGACCCTTGCAAAAAGAGGTAAGAATACAGTCTGAAAAGAAAATTAGCTAATATATGGAACCGACAAAGCATCGAGAGCAACTATGCCAAGCAGCCTAGAGTCCATCTGCGCTCCAATAGCCCATTTGAAGGTATTGTTGGACCCTAGCTTAGCCACCCATTCTGCAGCTCGGTTAGTTTGGGCCGACGCAATGATCCAACTCAGGTCCAAATTTAAAGGGCCCGCCACCGCCCCACCTGAATCAATCAACTTCAAATAAGGAACTTCCACTTCCAGATGAGGAAAGTGAAGCGTCTTGACCCATTTCAACGCAAGTTTAAGAGCTTTCTCTTCCTGCTTCGAAGAGCCACTCATCGGAAACCCCTTCGCCGCCACCGCAGCTCCATCGTGATCTCTTAGTAAAAAACCGGCTGCCGACCTTCCATTCTGGCGAAATACCGCCCAATTAAGCTTCAGGTGGCCTCGGTTCGGGCGAACCCATCTATTCAGATGAGGCTTACGTCTTCTAAATTTGCAGGTAACAATCCTCCTTCCTTCAACCTATCCCCTCCCTTAAGATTATCGTGAGCTAAGGACCATGAAATCATATGTGTGCAGATTCGCTTGATAAGCCCATCTCAATCTGGAAAAGAACCCGTCCAAACCGACTTCCAATATTCCTTCCATAGGTGCCAAGTAATAACCCCCGGTATCACTGCCCTGTAGATGGCGTCCAACGTCTTTCCTTTCACAGTACTCCACCACCTGTTAAGTTGTTGTTTGATTTGATTAACATAGCTTCTCTCCTGTAGCAGGATGCTTTCAAAGAATATCCAGATGGATCTAGCATACGGGCAATTGAAAAGGACGTGATCCTGTTCAGCTGAGGCTGCTTTGCAGAATGGACAAAAGGAAGGAAAAGTTGTAGAAAACCTAGCCAGTTGATGCGGAAAAGGGAGACAATCATTCCACAAGTTCCATAAGAAGACTCTGGTCTTTGGTACCTGTCTCGTGTGCCAAATGTTTGTAGTAGATAAAGTTATCCCCCTCCTCGACCAAAGAGCCAAATAAACTGATTTAGTAGAGAATACACCATGAGTTGTATGTATCCATTTGAGGCCCATAGGCCCTCTGTCCACGGACTGTTCTGCTTGGTCATGTACATGGCAGATCCTTCTCCAAATAGGAGAATCTGTGGGCTTAATATCTCCTAAATTGCGCTGACCATACTCACCCCTCATGAATTGAGTCCACATTGACTCACCCTTTTGAAACTCCCACCAGAGTTTCAATGCCAAAATATTGTGCATATCCTCCCTAGACCTAATGCAACCCCCCCCCCCCCCAACTTCAATAGGTCTGCACAACTTCTTCATACTAGCACTTTGTCACGGTGCGTCAAAATAAATCGATACTAGCACTTATACGTAGTATAGGTGAAGTAGAGTTCGTATCCACAGGGAAAGGAATAATTCTCTTTTTTATGAAACTAGTAATTAAAAAGGGGGGTTTTGGTTTTGAGTGATTTAATTTAATTAAGAAACTAAGATGAACAACCTATATGTATTTAATTCAAGAATAAAAGGGACTTGGCTTTGCTACTTTCCACTTGTTGATATATTTTAGTCGATCCTTGTTATATCTATAACTTATCCCCTCTCGAATACTCAATCGAGGAGTATCTCCAATTCATCGAGGGTAGTTATTAACCACGACCGTTCATTAATAACTCTTACTATTAATCAAATATAGAACAATGCCGTATACCGATATAATAGTAGCATTCAATCTTTTTAACTCCTTGATGAAATCAATTGAGATTGATAACCTTAACACAACGGTTTCGGTTTAACCAACAAAATTGATCCCTCTTAAGTCTATTAACCACGACCGTGCATTAATAAACCGAAGTTACTTACTTGTGAAACCACCAATGATTAACCATCGGTTCGTTAATCGTTTCCAGTAGTAATTAATGTCGGAACGTTAACTAATCGTCACTTAGCAACCCTCCAACATTAATATAGAATGAGATTAAGGGAAGAATTAATAATCAAGAGAAGAAGTTAAGAAAATAACTCACAACTTTAATAATCAACAAGCTTCAAGAGCAAACCCAAGAATGGAAGTTTAGCTCCTCATTTGGAGACTAAACATAGCTAGAAAAATATAAAGAAATGCTATTCTAAACTGAGCTAAAGAGAATGGAAGAAGGGATGATGAAAAGTGAAGGAAAATGGGGTTATTTATAGGTGTTTTCAACACCTAATGCCGGATACCCGGCCGGGTATTTTGACATACCCGACCGGGTATTTACCAAATCAAATATTTTCCCATGTTTTTGTGTCTTCTGCACGTTCTTTGGTCCGAAATCACTTCATACCCGACCGGGTATATGGAATACCCGATCCGGTATTTGCTAGTTTTGCAGCAGTTTCCTTTGTCACTTCATACCCGGCCGGGTAAAGTCCATACCCGACCGGGTTTTGCACAAAACTCAGGTTTCTTCATCCTTTTTGCTTCCAAATCTATCCTAAACTTAAAGCCAAACTAACTACAACTTACAACAAACAATAAAATTCTAGAAATACGATTACAATCAAATGCAAACTAACAACTATAAACTTGCACAAAACTAGTAAATAAACATTACAAACAATAATAAAAATGTATACTTAGGCACTAACAACTAGTGCCTATCACCCAATGGTATTTAGGCTTATTGTTTTTAAAACCCCAGAAAAAATAGCCACTTTGCAGCTAATTGTATGCTTGACAGAGGCAGGTAAATTAGTAACAGCAATAACATGAATGGGAATAACATTCAGAACATGTTTAATGAGAACCAATCTCCCCCTTGAGATAGAGAATTCTGTCTCCATTGGGAAAGTTTTTTATCAAAAACTTCTAAAAGTTCTTTACAGTGAGATAGCCTAGTGACTCCTTTATGAATCTGCACCCCCAAATATTTAAAAGGCAATGAGACTTTCATACCAAGTTCATGTTGAATGTGTGAAATCTGCCCTGCATTTGCATTTTTTCCCAAAACAAAACAACTATTGTCTTTGTTAACGATCTGCCCAGTAGCTTGTTGATAGAGTGCTAGAAAGGAATTAATTTTTTTATGGTCTTAGCAGACCCATTTAGAAATACCATCACATCATCCGCAAAAGCTAAATGAGAAAATAAAGCTCCTCTGCCCAGATTGAAAGCCTCTATAGCTCTTATATTAATCAAATGATTAAGTCTTCTCGAGAATGCCTCTGCCATAATAATGAAAAGAAGGGGGGAGAGCGGATCTCCTTGCTTCACTCCCCTATGTGGCTGAAAATAACCATAGGGTATTCCATTGACAATGATAGATATATAGGTTGCCCTGAGATTGCCCATAACCAAATTTCTAATAAAGGTTGAAAAGCCAAATTTCTCCAAAATGGCATCCAGAAAACTCCACGCTACTCTATCAAAAGCCTTCGCCATGTCTAGCTTAAGAACCATATTAGATGCCCTCACTTTTTTGTCCAAGTGGTGAAAAACCTCCATAGCTACTAGGACTTGATTTTGAATTGACCGACCCTTCATAAATCCCGACTGCTCAACAGATATTAAATTTGGCAATATGATAGAAATCCGTGAGGCCAGAATACGAGTAATAGTCTTGCTTAAAAAGGAGGATAGGCAAATTGAGCGAAAATCCCCAAATGAAACAGCGTGTTTCTTTTTGGGAATTAAGACCATATTAACACTAGCTACTCCCTTAGGCATCGGGATGCCCAAAAAGAATTCCTAGACTGCCATAATCACATCGTTTTTAATAATCTCCCAGCATTCTTTATAAAATTTACCTCCAAAACTGTCAGGGCCTGGCGCAGATTCGGGATTTAGACTCCAAATGGCCTCTCTAATCTCATTTTCTCCTGGTAATTCCTCCAATCCGTTGTTATCTGACCTGCTGAGAATTGTAGGGATATGTTGCAACAACTCTTCTTGATTGAAGGTGGGCTCGTAATGATAAAGATTTTCAAAAAAGGAGACTGCTTCTTCCCCTATTTCTTTATAATCATAGCACCATTCCCCGTTTTTTTTTTATAGCGTGAATGCTCTGCTTTCTTTTTTTGCCTGGACTGCCACATAAAAGTAGCTAGTATTGGAATCACCCTCTCTGAGCCATTTAATACTGACCTTTTGCTTCTAAAAATGTCTTGTTGCTTCACCCGTTTTAGAAGTTCGGCCTGCCTTTGGTGA